TTAGCAGAGAGAAGCCCATCAAAGAAATTTTTAGATGATGTAACATCTTTACCTGAGCTAAAAGCCTTGCTAGTGCATCCATGGAGGAATAGGAAAGAGCAGCTACATCCCTGCTCACATTCCAAAGCCACAGCTAGCTTGGATCAGGGAGCCCGCAGCTGTGCAGAGAAACAAACCTCTGCAGCCTGAGGGTTGGCAGTGCACTTCTTCAGGCAGCTTGTACATCTCCCTGAAAAGCTTTAATCAAGAACGGAAAGTTGGAAGCCAGGTTTGGTAGTAGTCATCACACACATACAGTATTAAATAATTTTTCTACTTTTTATAAGCACCTGCTGACCTTAACTCTGGAGTACTCAAAATAAATCCTCCCTCTTTTTTATATGAAAAAGCCTTTGTCCATATAAAAATAATTTTAAAAAGTGTCAGGGAGCTTACTATTTTATACGAGCTTTTTCCATTTCGTGTTTCTTGACCTGAAGGACGTGACTGTAAGAAGTAGAAGAGGGTCCTGGCTACATGACTATGCTGATCAACACAGAGAAGGGAGGGGGATGCAGCCGCCCTCTCACAGTCCTGGACTGAGGCTGTGTCTCCTTTTTTCACAAAGAAATAAATAATCAAGGCAAAATAAGTGCAGAAAGTTAAAGCGCTGGAAGTATTAGTAAATGAAAATTGAAGAATGTCTAGGATTAATATGACTTTCATATTAATAAACTCCCATTCCTCTGGCCTCATATCCATTTTTCCCAGTTTAAATGATGTTGGGTGGCCGAGCAAAGAATTAGCTGGACATGAGAAGAGCCATAATGGATCTGACCGTGTTTCTTTTACCCTCACACTTCGCCCCTGGCAGTGGCAGATGCTCAGGGAAGAACTATAAAACTGGAATAAGCATCAGGTTATGTTTCCACCGGCAGGTCAAGGAGCCTCCCAGCACTCTCCTTCCCCTGGGCAGCATTATTTTCTCCAGCGAAAACTGCCGAGCAACCAAAACCCATCAGTTCAAAACCCACCCATACTCGGCGGGAGGGGCTTTCGTGCTGCCGGTCAAAGCAAGTGCCTTTGCTGCCGTACGCTTTGGCTCTGTTGGCAGGATTGAGGACTGTCGTATCCAAAATTTACACTTGCCTCCCTTAACTTCTTCTGCTTCTCTTAAAAAGCTTCTTTTGCTCACCAAAATCCCGTGGTCAGCATCTGTCATGTTTGGCAAACTATGGGTGGCAGCTCAGAAATATTGAAGACATACTGACAAGCAAATGACAAAAATAAACAGGAAGGGCTGTGGTCTTGTGCTACCAACCTCTGCCTGATGTCTTCCAGATGAACATCCTCACAGCAGGGATGGTGCCAGCGCCAACACACCCCGTCGCAGCCCAGAGGACGCCAACGTCATGTTAGAGGTCTTCTGGGTGTTGGGGGCCCGTGGGCCAAGGCACTGTTAGCACCCGCGCTCCCACCTGCTTGCACGTAAAAACTCACACGTTCTGCTTGTCTCATCCCTGTTGGTTTTCATGAGCGCCTGGAAAACGCCTCAGCAATGCCCTAATTGCATTTGTGCTCCCTCCCATCATGGGGTGCAGCTGAAGGGAGCTCTGACCCCCTCCACTGCACCTCACAGCTCTGGGGTGGGATAAGGGGTTCCCCCACCCAAGGCAGCCACGCTGGGGAGCTGCTGCAGCCGGGACCGCAGTGGGAGAGGCAGGGCGGGACGCAAAAGCTGGACGGGTCCCATGGGGAAACCGAGGCATGGGGCCGGTCAGAAAGGGGGTGTGGGGCTGGCAGAGAAGGACATGGAGTGGGACTGGGCGGGCCGTGGGCAGCGAGTCAGGGAGCCTCTTGGTCCGGCCCAAGATTTGGCAGCATTGCAGAGGCTTTACAGCTCAGTTATAACTGGCAGCGGGTTTGTGCTGGGCTTCCTGTCCACATGCTGCTCTTCTCTTCCAGATGCTCTGGGGAGGGCTGGATATTCAGGCCAACAGGACAATCCGGCTGCGGGATGAAGAGCTGGCCTCCCTGCGCCCGGCACGGCGGTTCATGCAGATTTTAGAGTATGAAGTTCCCAAAACGCCGACAGAGATCGAGCAGCAACTGAGATACTATTCACTGACCGATACCCCTTTGCCTCTAACCGAGTTTGACCGCCTCCTTTTCACCAGTGTCTACTGTGCCTATCAGGTTCGCTCCACACAGGGTCTGGATAAAAATCTCTGGATTAGTTTCTTCTCTCAGCTGGTTGATGAAATGTTTCGTGATCTGTGCAAGGGGCTCTGCCCTGCAAATACCAGCCTCCTCCTGGCTTCCTGGCCCTGGAAGGAGAAGCCTTCACATTTAGCATCCCTGAAACATTTCTATCATTCTAACCTGGCCAGGACCAAGAGAGACACTTCATAGGGGAAACTACGGTAGGAAAGAAAACTACACCTGACTTCAGTGCATCCCTGGCTATTTTGAATGCTTTCCACATTATTCAGGACTTTGTACAACTACACCACACATTTTTGTTCCGCTTTCTGCATTGCATTGGCAGCCCTTCAAGGATTTATACACGAGCTTTTATTTTTAAATTAAGTAGGACAAAACTATAAAATGCATTTCACCTTTCCCTGGGTTTTTTTTCCTGTTTGTTTTTCAAGTGGGCTGTGCTGAAGGGGGCAGTGCTGCTTAGATGTGTTACCTATCTTGATCACTGATGCTTACTAGGGAAATGTCCTGGCAGTTTTTTTCCAGGATGTTACACTGGTGTCCTAGCTGACTCCATTTCAGGTATTTCAGTTCAGCCTCCTTAAATTCCCCCTGTGGTTTCAGCCAAATACACTCTCTTTTCTCCTCTCCAGTAACCAGCTAAGCAGATGCTGTTGTGTTGTTACATATTTAATTTCAGCTTTCTGCTCATGTGGCATCACGTTTTATGTGTCCATAGTAATTTCCCATTTCTTGTATTCATTTTTCTTTAAAAAGCAACCTGAAAATGTATGTATTCCATGAAGCTTTCTAGTACTTGCTTATCATATTTACACACATACATTGCTTTGTGTCAGTTATCAGTTTGGAATATGCTTCCTTAAATCTCATTTAAATTCCTAAGGATCATGACCTAGTTATTTCTTCAGCAGATTTTACCTCTTCTATGAAGTTTTTTTGTCACTTTACAAGACAAATATAATAAATACACAGTCTCTATCCTCAAAATCAGAAATAAAATTATTTTCTAGAAAGTGACCTTTAACTTTTCTCTGTCTTACACATCGCGGTGTGGAATTAAAAAAATGTAATAATCTGCTTGGGAGGGTTTTGATTTTTTTGTTCATTTGTTTCTACTAGGCTTCCTGCTGCTATGATAGGTACATTAATTTTGAACATTCATTGCATGTGCTTAGATGATGGGATCCATAATTCCCTTTCTATCAATATGTTCTTGATTTTCCATGCTCAACAAAGGAGGCATGTGTGACATTCAAAGTGGGAACTGCTAGCTTTTGACCTAGTTCATTTTTTTCTGAGCTGTTTTTGCCCAACAGATGGAAAGGAGAAATGGTGAGGCAGGAATAAGAAGCCTGGAAGCAAGATGCCACAGAGAATGGTTTTTGAGGTCAGGTTAGGGCTATGACAGGAGAAAAGACATTTACACAGTTCATAAAGCAGGTTGGTTGTTGCTTGCTTGTTTTGTTTTGTTTTGCTTTTTTCCCCAAAGGATATAGGAATTAAGATTAGCATTTTATTTGAAATACAACTTCTAGTAAAATAGTGTCCCAGATAATGTTCTTCTCTTCTTACGCTGCTTATTTACATACCTCCAATCTCTACCCGTCATCCTTTCTCCAAATACGCCCGCAGTCTTTAATGTCTAGGATATGTACAGAGTGGCTGCAGACAAGTTCAGTCTGAGCAGACAACATCATCAAAAGGCTGAGCTGGGATGGCACTAGTGCATGAAAATACTGTCTTGCTGGAGAATATGTGGTCTGAGCTGTATGAAGGTCTGGGTAAAGGTTGAGGGGGTTGGCTTGGCGACTAGGATGCAAATGCAGTTTTGAACACAGGATTTTGTTAGGATCAGTTTCAGAGCATTGCTATCTGTTGAGCAGATTATAAATCAAACTCAAGTGATGTCACAAAGCTTTGTGCAAACTCAGGATGAGGCACACTTGCAGTTTTTGTAGTCTGGAAGACAAACCAGAGTTTAGCTCAGCGGAAATGGCACCAATTGCACCACCATGAAGCCTCCAGCTTCCTGGTTTCTTACTACCTGCCTGGGTGGATCCTGCTGTCAGTCCCGACCGCCTGGTAGGAACATACCTCTACAGCCACACTAGTCTCTCTACAGCAGCGCTATGGCTCAGTGGAACACTGTGTGTAAGAAACCGCTGGAACACAGATGCTGAAAATATCACTTAAGGGTACCTTTGATCCCATTTGCAGTAGGTTACCAATATAGCATATGGCAAGTTAGCCATACCCTTGTATTCAAGGAGCTAATTTCTGGAGAATCTAATGCCCCTGCAGTCAACACTGCCATTGCACGGCATGATACTACTCACACTTAAGACATTATGGGCCTGCTCCTGACCCAAATATGAAGAGATTTAAAAATACATTTTTTATTCTTCTTATTTATCTTGATTCTGAGCTTTCAGCGGATGGTCTGTTCATTGATTTGAGCCCTCATCCTTTACTACAAGGGCTAGAACCCTACTTTTTTTTTGTTTTTTTTAAATGTATTATTTTCATTAAATGGAAGCTGAGATTCTCAAACACAGCTTCTTGATTTCAGCAATTTCAGATTAAGAAAAGCACCAAATATTGTGAAACTTGCAATAAAATCATAAGAGGTACTAACACTTCACACACACAAATGATAAAAAAGAGTATGCACAGAGAGACTGGCTCAGTAATACATACTGCAACTTGTACAATCACCATGTTTCTTTCTCTCCTGAGCTGGTACCTTGGGTGGCGACAAGCACACAAATCTCACAAGTAACAACAAATTCCAATCATCGGAGAAAACTTTACATCTTTTGTATTTTTATTACTTTCATCTTCATTACATTTATTCCCTCCCCAGATATGCAAGGAAAGTCACAACATCCTTTGCTTTCTGGATGATGGGGATCTGCAGTAACATTACTGCAGTGGCTCTCTGATCCTCAGAATCTCTCTACACTGCCCCACCCTGCCCCAAAACTACCTCATGCTTTATGCTTAAATCAAACACCAACACAGGACACACACATACAACCCGTAAAGACCTTTCTATGGATGAATGGCAGAGACAGCAATGGCCCTGTGGACAGAGCCCAAGCGTGCAGCATAAGGAAAGCACTGGACACATGATAGCATGCTCAAAGTAGAGGATGATATCCGAAGAGGAGCTATATCCACGTTCATGGCGCCTTGACTTTTCTTATGCTCCTTTTACATCTGCATTTAATTATTTGACCCATGGGGTGAGCTGGCACCTGGAAGCCACTTTGGCTGAACCTCTGAATAGATCAGGAAGCCTGTGAAAGTGATGTACTTGCCATGGTTGCTGTAGGCACCATAGCCATCGTGCTGATGGCTGTAGAGCCAAACAGTGTCCCCATATTGCAGAGGCAGCATGATACTCTGGCTCTGCATCTCCCGCCTCTTGGAGTGGTTGTCATCATAGATCATGGCCTGCACCTCATTGTGGTTCTTCATAAGTTTCACTGACATAGTCTTAAAGGGCATTTTGCCAATGGTGAAGGAGAAATAGTATGCACCAGGTATACGGCATGAGAAGATGCCAGTGGAAGAATTGAAATCTTTTCCAATGTTCACAAACTCTGTGTCAAATGTGATTGGCTCATGCTGGGTTTGCTTGTCATCTGTCCCCAGGAGACTTTGTGAGCGGGCAACAGAAAATGCAGAGCGAGGGTCTTGTTCTCTGGTTGGTTGATCAGATAACGTGTGTCGCTGTGAAGCTTCATTCTGCTCTCCAGGAAGTTGCTGAATAGTGTGATGGTTTGGCCCAAGCTCTTGAGAGCTAAGAGTGTTCTGGAAGAAGGCAGAAGTGTCTGGATAGATTAGGTAGCCATTGAAAGTTGTATAGGGGCCCACGTTGCTGTAAAGAGCATACTTGGGGTCTCCATGTAAACGCAGCCAAACTGTGTCACCATAGTCAAGTTGCAGCATGGCACTCTGGCTGGCTACCTTCCGTTCCTTGCGGTGATGTTCATCATACACAATCACTTGCACCTCATTCTTGTTTCTCATCAGCATGACAGACAAGTTTTTCTTTGGGTATTTCCCAACAGTGAAGGAGAAGTAGTAGGCTCCAGGGATCCGACAGCGGAACAATCCAGTCTTGGGATCAAAGTCATTGCCAATGTTCACATACACTTTGTCAAAGGTAATGACCATCTCAGAGCTCCCTTCCATGCTGCTGGTTCTGGCCACAGAGAAAGCAGAGCGAAATTCAGTACTGGTGTCTGCTGGGAAGCCATCTGTAGGCAGAAAAATCATGCAGCAAAGGAAGCCAAACAGGATCTGAACCTTCAGTGTCATCATTGTATCTGAAAGGAAAAAGCATATTTTAGCAGGAATCCCATTAATTTCCAGTTCATACTCCAGTTGAAACCCAGACCTGAATCTTACTAAGCAGACTTGAAGGTCTATGTCCAATTACTGAGAACTTTCCAGTGCATTCTCTGATCAGTGTACAGGACCACACTTCAGTTCAGATCCCAGCACCATTTTCATATTTTCCTAGCAAGAGCTGGACCTTTCTTCCCTGTACTCATAGGAAGAAAAAGAATCTTGTCTTTTGAAAGTCTGGCTATCCTACAGTTTGCCGTCAAAACACTGTGTGGCTCACAATTCAGAGGGATCTCAGAGCTTGCCAGGGCTTTGCCAGAGCTCCCTTTTGCAGCAATTTTATTCATAAGACCAAGGATGAAACAAAGCCCTACACAGACCCTGTATTATACAAGTGAGATACAGCTGAAGGGGAGGGAGAAAAGGACATACGCTGTAGAGATTCCCATGCAGATGCCATTGCCTAGCACTGCACTAGCTGTTTCACAGGATGTGGAAGCTGGAAGCCAAGTAAGTTGTTAGACCCTATTATTCAGACAGACTTCACCATGAATCTGTGAAGAATGTAAAGAAATTAGAAGAGGGATTGTTTAGGGAATGAAGGAAGGAAAGAAGGAAAACAAAAGATAAATAAAAGGCAAGTCTCCCAAAGTATAGAATCCCTGAGAGAAAACTGAAATAGCAAAAACAGGGAAACAACTCCCTATCTGGATAATAGACCAGAGAGAAAATACTTCTTTGACCCTTAAAAAAGAGGGATAAGTTAGGAGCTAATGGGATTTTCTGCTTCTAGTGTCTGTGATTTTTTTTTTTTTTTTGGACTGAGGCCAAAAATCATCTATTAGTGCTTTCAGGCTTAAAACAAAACTGCCAGTCATTCCAGTGAGAAGCTTCTCTCTCTGTCACCTTTCTGTGCTTATTAAAATATCATTCAGGCTGTGAGGCAACTGCCTGGTTTGCAGTCTGCCCCATCTGTCACCCCAGAACTGGTGCCTTGCCAGCCAGCACACAATGAATTCACAGACCAGCAGAACAGGAGCAAAACATGCTACTCAGTGCAGGGCGGGGCGGGGGGGAAAGAGGGGTGAAGACAAATCCTGAATTAAAAGCGATAAAGGGGTAAATATTTGAATCAATTGGGAGGACCTAGTAATAGATGCAAAGCAGATAGAATCCACATAGACTGAGGTGGCAATGGGATCCTGTTTTGGCAAGATGTGATACCTAGAATAACTCACCAGCAGGATTTCAGCTCAACCTACAGTCCCTGCTCTTTCACACCTGAGAATAAAGATGAAATCTGAAATGCAGCTCTAATAAATATGAACCCAAGAATGAATTAGATTCTCACTTAATTACACAAAAGTGACACATTAGCAAAGACAAAAAAATATCCATCCATGTCCTGATTTTACATTAGATCACCTCTTTCACAAACATATCAGTATTTTCTTCCATGCCCTTGAATTCAGCATGTTTTTCCTGACTTAGCCTTGTTTCTCCTGAACACATACATAGGACCCCACGGGCTGCACTGAAGGGTGTTGAGAGAACCGACTGATGTCATATTGAGGCCACTCTCTATCATCTTTGAAAGGTCATGGAGATCAAAGGAGGTCCCTGGTGAGTGGAGAAAGGCAAATGTTGCACCCATCTCCTGAAAGGACAAGTGAGTCAACCTGAGGAACTACAGGCCAGTTGGCCTGTGAGTCCCTCACTTTGGCCCTTGGGAAAATCATGGAGTGTTCTTCCTGGAACACAATTCTAGGCAAAGGAGGTGATATTTAGTATGTGTTAATCAAATGAGGGTAGATCATGACTAACCAAACTGATTGCCTTCTTGTGAGAAAAGACCAGTGGATGTCACCTACCTTTTAGCATGGCTTTTGTTACAGTGTCCCAGAGCATTCCTGTATCCAAGTTGTGATGTTACAATCTAGATAAGTGGACTGCTAGATGGGTGAAAAACTGGCTGGTCTGTTAGGCTCAAGGGTTAGTGTTTAATATTTCATTTCAGATGTCCTTTTTAATATTTTTTATCAATGACCTGGAGAAGGAGACAGAATGCCCACTCATCAAGGTTGCAGATGACACTGAAACAGGGGGTTTGCCAATACACTTGGAGGCACAGCTGCTATTCAGACGGACCTAGACAGGCTGGAGGAATGGACCGAATGGAAATTCAGCAAGGATGAATGCAAATTCCTTTATCTGTGTGTTTGTACAGGCTGGTGACTATCTGGCTGGGGAGCAGTGCTGCTGAAAAGGATCTAGGAGTCCTGGAGAACAATGATTTATACCTGAGTTAGTGCTGTGCCCTGCAAGTAATGAAGACTAACAGCACACTGGGGTGCATCAACAGAACGTAGCCAGTAACCACAGGTAGTTGATTATTCCCCTTTAGTTGGCACTTCAGTGACTCCAGAAGAGGGCAGCCAAGATGGCTGAGGTCTGGAGCACTTGCCCTATGAGGAGAGGCTGAGGGAACTGGGCTTGCTTAGCCTGGAGAAGAGAAAGCTTTGGCGGGGGGGATCTAATAGCAGCCTTTCAGTACCTATGAAGAGGTTACTGAGATGACAGAGCTAGGTTCTTCACTGATGTGCACGCTGGGACAATGGCTATAAAATCCAAAGGGGAAGGTTCAGACCAGATTTAAGCAAAATAATTTCATGCTGCGGGCAATTAAGAATGGAATAGTTTGCCCAGAGAGACTGTGAAATCTCCATCCTTGGAAGTTTTCAAGACCAGACTGGATTAAGCTGTGAGCAACCTGGTCTGCATTCAGTG